ACAGGATGTAGCCACCCCTACGAAGAGAAGTAGCCATGTCACTCCCCACCACCACCCCCGGGCCCCCTGAAGGACGTTGTTGGGCTGTATCTCAGGGTTGACTGGGAGGAGGAGATCTGTAACCCATAGACAGGGTGGCTTCCAGCAAACACGAGGGTCCTGGTGTCCCTTTCTACACGACTATGAGGCATCACTCACCAGTATTTTGGCTTCGGCACCTCTTGTTCCTGGTACAGCTTCTCCAATTCCTCGTTTTTCTTTCTCAGATACTGTTCAGGGGAAGGAGATAGAGGAAGGGCCAGACCCGGTCAATGATTCATTTAATAACCATGTACTGAGCATGTGCCAGGTGCTGGGCACACAGGTGAGCAAGGCACAGGTGGCCTCTGTCCTCTGGGAACACAGTCCAACGGGAGGGTCCGACAGACACAGGAGGCCCATTGGGCCATTTCCCCACTCCCGTTCCCCCAGGAAGACAGCCTTTCCACTTTGCTGGAGAGAGAGGGCCCTGGCATCCCTGGGAGACAGCCTCTGGGGATGAGCCCGGGCCCTCGCCACCCGGAGGACTAAGAGGAAGCCCCACTCACCTCCCGATCAGGGATGACGGAACTCTGGTGACTGACCACAGCCCCAATCTGGCTGCTTTTGGGGCGGGAGTGGAAGTAGCACGCGGCCTCCTCCTCTGGCAGCTTCTTCACAGGGCCCTCCACACGCACCTGCTCAGGGATGGCCTTGGCTACATGGCGTTCACTCGCCCTCCCCAGGCCACAGGCCCATTCCCGTCTTCTCTTTAGCCAATGCCTCACCACTCTGGGCTCCCACCAGACCAGCTAACTATACGAGAGCTATGAGAGGCAGGATGTTTGCCCAGCCTGGGGACCTCCACTGGGTTCCTATATAAACTCAGGCCCCTCCCAACATAGCCCACCCCAGGCTGTCCTGGGAATGCTCACTCACCTGACGGTTCAGGGGCTCCCAGTAGAAGACAAGGGAAGCAAAGGGATTAGAGTCCTAGAAATGAAACAGAATCCACAGACAGCGTCAGGACATGGGGGGAAGGCAGGAAGTCTGCAGCGTGCAGGCCCACGGGAGATGCACTCAGTGTAGTATCTCATTTAAACCCTCAAAGGTAGGCCTACTGTTACAGGTAGAGACAGGCTCAGAGAGGTTAAGTAACGAGCCCGAGTTCACATAGCAAGTGGCAGGGCTGCGTCGGAAACCTTCGCCAGCTGGACTCCAAAGAGACGCTTGCCATTTCTCAAACCCACAGATTTTGTAAGTTCTCAGAAATGTATGTTTGCCTGGCAGGGACTCAGGGAGGATGACTCACGTGGATTTATGAACTGTATGCATGTGAAGTGCCAACGCTGTATTCGACACCAGAAGAGGTCATGGGGGTGTAACAGAGATACAACAGATGCAGCCTCTGCCCTGCAAAGCTTACCACTTAACAGAGGACACACACATTAATCACATAATCACACACATGCACAGTTAGAAACTGAAAAAATGGCAGGAAAGTTGCTAGTTAGAACGATAGCAAACAGCATGAGCGGCTGAACTGTGTAGTAGTTGAGGAGGCTTTTTTGAAGAGGCTAACATTGGGGCTGAGACTGAAGGGACAGGGTTACTTGGATAAACAGATGACAGAGGCAGGGGTGGTTGGAGAGCATTCATGCATGTGCGGCAAGGAGAACAGCAGTGCAAAGGCCCCCAGGCAGGGTGGCCCTTGAGCACAGACAGCAAGCGGGTTGGGGTGGGGGTGACTGATGAGGCAAGGGCTGGACTCTGCAGCCCCGAGGAGGATTTACCGTGACCCCTCACCAGCTCTTTCCCCTTTCGGCTCTCGAAGTTAGTGAAGAAGCGGAAGCCATCCTTGTCAAAGCCCTTCAGCAGCACCATGCGGGCAGAGGGCTTCCCATCTCTGGGACAGAGAGCAGAGCGCCGAGGTCAGAGCCCACTTCAGTGTTCTCACCGCTGCCCCTCCCTTGGGATGTCTGAGCATCCCTACGGCTGTGTCCCCGTATTCTGCACTGTCCGGGCACTCAGGCCACCCACCCACTCCCACCTGCCCCTGGGGATTTAGCCTGAAAGCAAACAAACACCAATATGACATTGAAGCCTTCCCCCTGCGTGCCAGAGGCGTCCTCCCCACTGTCCTGACGGCGGTCGGTGGATTCTTTCATTTCCAGGACTGTTAGGGACTGAACTATGTCCCCCTAAAAGCCTATGTTGATGCCCTTGCCCCAGTGTGAGTACTTGGAGAGAGGGCCTTAGGGAGTGAGTAAGGGTAAGTAAGGTCTTAGGGTGGGACTCAAATCCAAAACGACTGGTGTCCTTGTAAGAGGAAGAAACACCACTGATCTCTCCCTTGCTCTCTGCATGCACAAAGGAAAGGCCATGTGAGGACAAGGCAAAAAGGCAGCCATCTGCAAGCCACGAAGAGAGGCCTTACTAACCAACTGACAGCACCTCAATCTTGGACTTCTAGTTTCCAGAGCTGTGAGAAAATGCATTTCCGTTGTGTAAGCCACCCTGTCTGTGGTGGTTTCTTATGGCAGCCCTGGCAAAGTAACACGGCTCTAAGGGCAGCAACCAACAAGAATGCAACGGGCCAGTGCTTAGGGACCACAGAAGGTGTGGCTCTATCAGACCCTCTGCTCAGGGCTTTGGGGGACACCCAGGGCACAGCACAAGAGCGCTGCCTTCAAGGCCTTTCATTTGACTGAGGGGGGACAGGAGGAATTGGATTGGATAGGAGGCTAATATGAGAGATGTCTCAATGGTTGATTACCAAGTGAAGGATACAGCCAAGCATTGTCTACAAAGAGCTTCATGAAGAGGTCTCAGGAGGCATAGCTCTTAAAGAGCAGCTGGGAATAGGATAGGTGGGGGGATAAGGGAGGCAAGGGTCTATGGGGGGTTGCATCAAGGGCAGAGAGGAATGAGGCACTGCATTCCATCCCTGAAATGTCATTGAGTGAAGTGTGATCTTCGGTTTACAGGTAAGGACACGGAAGCGCAGAGGACAAGCAACTTGCCTGAGGCCCCACAGCATTTTAATAAAAGTGCCAGAACCATAAAGTTGTCATCCATCAAACTGAGAGCTCCCTCAGTATCCTACTGCATCTGTGCCCACCCACAGCAGGGCCCATGGCCATGCCCACCTGGTACAGGTAGCCAGACACATGGCGTTGGCTTCCCCGATGTCAGGACACTCAACAGCCTCTTCGAACCAGGCAGCAAACTGCTTCAGGGGGTCCAGAGAGGTCAGCTGAGCCTCCTCAAATGCCTGGGAAGGAAGGGTTTTATTTCATTTCATAAGCACACATATTGCTTAATGGGTATGTAGAACTATTCTAGGCGCTTTTCAAATATTAACTTATTTAATCCTCATCACAAAACACAGTACCCAGGAAGCAGGTTCTGTTAGCCCCATATTGGGAGGAGGGGGGGACACAGGCAGGAGGAAGGAGATTGACAGCTGGTGATGGACGATGAGTCAGGGCTTCCTGTCATGGGTGTCAAACCTATCATCTGGAAAGCCCTTTTTTAAAAAAAGACAGATTCTGGACTCTGCCCTTGTAAGTCCTCATTCAGTGGGTCTAGGGGTCAGTGGAAAACCGCATGTTTAACAACAGTTCTCTGCGTTCCTCTCGGGGGAGGAGGAAGGAAAGGAGGTTCTCCAGGGGGTAAGCGAGGGGAACGGAGGCCGACACTCAACAGCCTCTTCGAACCAGGCAGCAAACTGCTTCAGGGGGTCCAGAGAGGTCAGCTGAGCCTCCTCAAATGCCTGGGAAGGAAGGGTTTTACTTCATTTCATAAACACACATATTGCTTAATGTGTATGTAGAACTATTCTAGGCGCTTTTCAAATATTAACTTATTTAATCCTCATCACAAAACACAGAACCCAGGAAGCAGGTTCTGTTAGCCCCATATCACAGGTGGGGACACAGGCAGGAGGAAGGAGACTGACTGACAGCTGGTGATGGACGATGAGTCGGGGCTTCCTGTCATGGGTGTCAAACCTATCATCTGGAAAACCCTTTTAAAAAAAAAAAAAAAGACAGATTCTGGCCTCTGCCCTTGTCAGGGGAAAACCGCATGTTTAACAACAGTTCTCTGCGTTCCTCTCGGGGGAGGAGGAAGGAAAGGAGGTTCTCCAGGGGGTAAGCGAGGGGAACGGAGGCCGCGAGGGGCTAGAGGTCCTCCCTCCTGCCCCGGGAGTGAGTCTGCCGCCCCCACGTTTCGCTCACCAAACACCGACAGGCTGACCGTCCCTGCGCTAAGCACGTCACACACCCGAGTCCACCGCTTCCCAGGTGAGGAGCGGAGGCTGGAGGTTAGGTCAACTGCCCCGGGGGTGCACCTCGCGGATGGAGGGCGGGCTCCAGCCGCGCCTTGCCCCCAGCACAGCGGCCTCCGACCCCGTCTGCGTCCCGGCTTCCCCGGAACCTCTTCCCCAGCGGTTGTCTCTGAACCCTCTCCTCTCCTCTCCTGGGGATGGCCTCAAGCCCCTGCGTCCCACCGGGTGGCCCCAGAAACCCCGCGGGGTTCCTCCCATCCGCCCTCCCCCCCGCCTCCTCCGATGATTTGCGACGCCTTGTTCCCCGCCCCCGCGGAGACCCCGCCCGGCGACGACACCTCTCGGTCCCCGCGGTAACTCTTGCGCATCGGCCCCAGATCCATGTCGGCACCACGGTTGCACAGGCGGCTGCACAGGTGACGAAGGAGGCGGGGCCGCTCGGCCAGTCGCCCGAACATCACGTTGACGCACGCGACGGGGCCGTTGGCCACGTGACCCAGCGTCGCCCGGCGCCGGGTTCCGGCATGTTTGGAACCAGTTGCTCAGTCCCGAGTCCACCCCCGGGAAGGAAGGTTTGTCCGTCTCCCAGCCCAGATACCTTATGTCCTCGGAGCCAATGGGAGCCCAGGGTCGGAGGAGGGAGACAGGCGCTGGGACTCCATTGGTCGGAGTTTCCCGGAGCGCGGCCAATGACGGCGAGAACAGAGGAAGCCAGCGGCCAATGGGCAGCGCCGCTGGGGGCGGGAGCAGGGAGATAAGGAAATTCTGTCACCGCGGTTAACACGCACGTGGAGGTTTGTTAAAGGTATCGGGCTGCTGCCTCCCGGGCCGGGGGCGGTGGGCGAGCCGCTGGGGGCTCGAAGGGAAGGGTCAGTGTGAAGTGGCTGGCCCCTGGTCGGTGCCCGAAGGCGGGCCTAGTGCAGGAAGTGTCCCTGCGGGGCAGGCTGGTGGCCTGGGAACGGACCAATGGAAATGGAATTAGGGGCCAGACCCTAAGGCAAGGGGGTGGGGAGACGGAGAAAGAGGACATCTGGTTTGGGGAAGAAATCAAGGCTTGAGAGTGGGAGAGGCTGAAGAGACTAGTGACCCCTCCAAATAGGTGCTGTGTAGTGTGTGTGTGTGTGTGTGTGTGTGTGTATTTGGGGGGGAGGCGGGGATGAGAAGGAAGACAGCTGAATGGGAAAGGGGAAGAGGGAAATTTGGGATCAAGCTGTCCCAGACCAGCACCGTCTTCCTCCTCCAGCTCTGAACCCCCTCTCTCCAGCCTCATTTCTTTCACCCCAGGCCAGAGCAGGCTGCTTTCTTTACTCATGGCCTCCCCTCTCCTGATGCAGCAGACCAGCCAGGTCGATGGAAAGCTTACCTCTGCCCCACCCCTCCCCCGCCTCCCCCTCTCTGCCGAGTTTCCCCTTTTTCACCTCTTGCCCTTCCTAGAGAGTTGGAGTTTGGTACCGAAGTCAATGCCAGCCATAGCTGAGGGCACGAGAGCAGGTGGCTGTGCCAAGCCATTTCCAGGATGCAGGGCTGAGAAGTGGGAAACCTGCCAGTGCCTACCCATTCCAGCTTTGGCCTGGCTGGGGCAGCCGTGGGTCAAGGCCTCTCTCTAGTCCTCGTTTCCACCATCATCAGGAAGGGGAGCTGCGAGAACCATCTAGGCAGGCACCCCAGGACTGTCAGGTAAGGGGACTTCCTGCCCTGCCCAGGTGTCTGCATGACAGCTAAGCTTCATAAAGCTCTACTTTCGATACCTGTCATCCTTTATCACGGGCACATAGCTTGAGCCAAATAGAATCTGGAAGACAAATTTGCTGCGAAGAAATAACACATGTCTCAAGGCTTAGTAATATGCATCTGTAGATTCTCCACTGGTTAGAATTTTTTGCTGCATTGTTTTCCTCCGTCAACATGATTGAGAGAGAGCTGACTGGACTTCCTTTCTTATTGAAGTTGTCTTTCCACGTATGAACATTGCTGTCCTCCCCTCCTCCCAGCACCTGCATTTAAATCTGTGTAAGCAATGATTAGTGCCCTTCAACTCAGTCGGTTTTGTTCATGGGCCCACACTCTTAGCACGCCTGGGATGTGCTACCCTGGACCCAGGATTCTAGGGCACCAAGACAAGGATAATTTGAATGGTTTTAATTAAACCATTACAGTACAGTTGACTCTTGAACAATGCAAGGGTTAGGGTCGCTGACCCCTCCCCAATTGAAAATTCACGCATAACTTTTGACTCCCCCCAAATTTAGCTACCAGCAGCCTACTGTTGGCCAGAAGCCTTACTGATAACATAAGCAGTCGATTACCACATGTATTATATGCTGTATTCTTAGAAAAAAGTAAGCTAGAGAAAGAAAATTTTATTGAGAAAATCATAAATAAGTAGAAAATACATTAACAGTATTGAAAAAAAAATCCATGTATACTGGTAAGTGGATCCATGCAGTTCAAAACCATGTTGTTCAAGGGCCAACTGTATAGATATTTATTCCTTCAGTTGACATTTGTTAAAGTCTTCTTTAGGACCAGGTACTGAGCTAGGTCTGAGCATACGAACATGAAGATGACACGGTTCCTGCCCACAGGGTTTTGTAGTCTGTAGGGGGAAGCAGATCTGTAAGCTGAAGAGTTACAGGTGCTTCTGTGAGGAGACGGGGAGCAAACAGGAGGAAGTGGCCTCTGGGGTTCCAGCAGTCAGGAATCTTTCGTAAAGGGAGCAGACATTGTATTTGTCTTAATGAGTATGTGTCTGCAGATGGACAGTGGAACAAGCGTGCCAGGAAGAGGGAACAATGTGAGTAAAAGCTGGGTGCCTTGGGGAGATTTGGAGCAGGGTGATCCTGCTGGAACGGGTGGTGAGAACGCGAGCCGGGCACTTAGGCAAGGGCGCGGCGTGCCAGCTGAGGATCAGGCAGATGGCATGGGTTAGGCTTTTAGACAACGATTCTTTTTTTATCCTTGGCTGTTGTCGAACCACAGTGTCTAATTCCTCTATTTTCAAGACCAGATGAGAAAAAGTAGATTCCAGCAGCCTCTCCCCTTCTCGGCAATTAGCGAGGAAGCTTGCAACTGGTTGCCTTGTACTATTTCCCCCTTTGTCTTGAGATAACAAGTAGGCTTGCATTGTGCTTTTCTGCTTCGTGGGATTTGGTGTCCGGATCACAAAGCAGCCCCGCAGTGCAAGAAGGAGTGGGGAACACACCCACTGGCAGTGCCTCTACTGCTGTACCCTCAGCTAGGGTTTTGCCTGTGTGGGAGAAATGAATTTTGTATTGTCACTGCTTTTTATTAAATACTTTGCCACCCTCCCCTCCCCACTTGGTAAATTTATTAATCTCTTCTCCAAAATCTTGGATAGAAAATAGATTGCAATATTTCATTGTACAGAGAGGCACACTGGTTTCTCCATATGAAACAAAAAGGCTGCAGGTGGGTTTGGGACTACGCTTTGCCTGTTTTCTTTCAAAGCCTTTTAAAAAATATTTATTTTTATTGATTTCAGAGCGGAAGGGAGAGATAGAAACATCAATGATGAGCCCTGACTGGTTTGGCTCAGTGGGTAGAGCGTCAGCCTGTGGACTGAAGGGTCCCGGGTTTGATTCTGGTCAAGGCCATGTACCTTGGTTGCGGGCTCGATCCCCAGTAGGGAGTGTGCAGAAGGCAGGTGCTCGGTGTTTCTCTCTCATCGATGTTTCTAACTCTCTGTCTCTCTCCCTTCCTCTCTGTAAAAAATCAGTAAAGATATTTTTAAAAAATCAATGATGAGAGAGAATCATCGATCAACTGCTTCCTGCATGCCCCGTATTGGGGATCAAGCCCTGACCGGGAATCAAACCATAATCTCCTGGTTCATAAGTCGATGCTCAACCACTGAGCCACACCAGCTGGGCATTCTTTTGCATATATGTTCTGAAATCATCCTTTAGTCTAAATGATTGGATTATATATTTCCATGATAGCTTAGTGGTTGTGTTTTGGGACCTGGTGACCAAGTGGATGGTGGGTGAAGGAGGTCAGGACACTGCAGTGTTGTCCAAACTGAAGCAGGACCCTAGCGCCCGAGTATGTGGGTGGGCGGAGATGGAGAGGAGGGGAATCAACTCACCGGGGTGACTTCAGGCGACATGGGCGGTGCTGTTCATTGAAGTGGGGCATGTTAGAGGAGGAGGTTTGGCGGGGAGAGGAAGTCACCGTGGAGTGCGAGGGTTTATGGGACACCCACGTTTGGTCCGATTATATAATTGAGTCTGGAGTTTAGGAGAGAGGTCTGGGCCAATGAGACCAGGTTAGGTGTCATGAGCCACCGAAGTGGCACCTGAAACCATCGGGGACGGTGAGCATGTCAGAGGGTCTGGGAGAGTTAAGGACAGTGGGGGAGGGGAGAGGTGCAGGATGATGGAAATGATACAGTGCTTAGCTTTCCAGGGGGCTGATGGCAGGCTGTGTGTGTGTGTGTGTGTGTGTGTGTGTGTGTGTGCGCGTGCTGGGGCCTCTAAGCTCGGGAATTCTTGGGCCCAGCTTGGGGTGAACTCAGGACACACCGAAGGGTGGGTGCTTGGTGTTCTGCCAGCAGATGCCTGAGTCCCAAGTATGGTTATCAGGGGACCCAGAGGAGAGATGCAGAGGAGACTGACTTACCTGAGTGTCCTGCCTGTGGTTATGGGGTTGACGCCTCACACGATTCTTGCATGTGCTCATGGGTCACTTTGCAGATACATCCTATGGTTTTCATACGTGTTCCCCATTAGGAGCTCCTTAATGGGATGGACTGTGTCACTGACTTTCTCTGGCTCCTTCTCAGCATGCCAGCCAGGAAGTGCTAATCTGTCATGTTTATGCGTAAACTGTTTTGTTAAGCCTCTCTGTAGCCAGTGCTAGGCATTGTGAGTAGGGCTTGGGTTGTTTTTTTGTGTGTGTGGTTTTGTGTTTTGTGGGGGTTTTTTGCACCCGGTGGGAGCCTGGCCAAGTGTCCTTGTTGGCTGGAGGGATGTTAAGCTGAGTGAGGTCTCAGGGCACCAGTCTCCTTTGTGGCACTGGCTGCGTTGTCATTAGCGTGTGGGCCACAGGTAGGAGGCTGGATAGCAGGTTCCCAGGCCGGCCCAAGGATGTGACCTGGCGATTCTTAGTTTCGTGGAGAGATCCTGAGTGTTGGTAGGTATTTGACTCCCTTCTCCAGCCCCGGTTCCCTGCCGTTTCCCACTACGGTTTGCTTTCTTTTCACCCGCATCCCTGTTCTTCATTCCATCTTCCCTGATCCACTTCCTGCCTCTTCTCCTCCCCGAGGACCCCTTCACTAGGACACCCAGCTGCCACCTGTCCTGAGATTCCTGTAGTTCCTTTAGTGGCTTTCTCCCAGCCCCAAGGCCTTGGTCAGGTTACAAGAGGTCTCTGTCCTGAGAGGGTGCGTTAGGTTCCCATGTAGGCCTCAGCCACATCCATGAGCCAGGAGCCCCTGATGGGTCCAGGGACCTGAGATGCTGCAAGTGGCTCCCATCATCATACTCACGTAGGGCCTCAGTGAGCCCCCAAAAGGTGATTGAAGAAATGGACTGAGTAGTTTGAAGGAAGCCTGAGTTCTATTTGCTGGTTTGACTTTTTTTTTAAGGGCAATCTGCCTGGATTTGCCTTCAGTATGGGGAGAACTTCCCCAGCCCTCTTTTCTTTCCGGTTTATAATTCTAGGATCTGGAATCAAAGAGCTGCTGCTGTGTTGAGCATCACTGAGCAGACAAGATGGGGCAGGGAGGGTGGCTTTGGTACAGATGACCCTGAGGATGGAATGTGGGCAGCATGGCCCTGCACTCCC